TATTATTATTATTATTATTATTATTAATTATTATTATTATTATTATTATTATTATTATTATTGTTATCTATACATAATACTGATCAATATTATGTATTGGTGGCAATACATAATGTTGATTAAGTTTCAGATTTAGGCACACATCACACAACTAATCCCTACTGTTTTATTTTGCTCAGATGGTAAATTTGTATGCAAAATTCAAATCAGAAAAGATCATAGAATAGAATTCTTTATTGGCCAAGTGTGATTGCACACACAAGGAATTTGTGCATAAGCTCTCAGTGTTCATACAAGCAACAAGCAATAAATCATGTTTATAATCATAAAATGCAGTCATCATAAATCATAAGATACAACATTGAATGATAGTCATAGAATACTAAATAATCAACATAAATCATAATAGGGTACAAATAAAAGCAATCAACATAAATCATGAAATACAAACAACAAAGTTGTAGTCATAAAAAGCTAAGGAAATAGGTAATAGAAAAAAATGAGAAGGATAACAGTAATACAGCTCTATAGGTGGTTTGACATCATCAAACCTAATAAAAATGGAAACCTAATAAAAAGTTTAGCAAGCATGGATATCAGTCATTGTGAAAAAAGGCATTTATTCATAAGTAATTCTTACTTGTGGCATCTTGTATATATTCAGAATATTTGGCATAAATGGACAGATGTTTGCATTAGGTCCTGCTATAACAGATATTGTCTTCTCCTGGATATCACACTTATAATTAGGGGTGAATTTGCCCTGTGTGGACAGTAGCTCCAGTGAAGCAAAGTAGGTCCATTTTGCCATGAAATTGCTGTTAGTGATGCGAATGCCCAGAGTCATGTTGAATAAGAGCTGAGGGTTTTCATTAATCTCGTTTATAGCAAACATCAAAGCCTGGGTGTGTTGGTAGTTCTGAAGTAAAAACCTGCAATGAGAATTATGCATGCATAAAATTTTAGCATGAAAACCAATATGATCTTTTTTTGTAGCATCTGGAACTGAGTTTTCTTCTTTTGAATATATTTTAAAACAACCTAAAGCATGAAACATATATTTTATACAAGAAAGAAAAAATATCTTTCACTAGAGAATGGATGAATTACCAAATGGAATATTCATGAATGGTATTACATTTTGCTTGTGTTATTAGACCTATTTCTAGTCCTACTTTCTACATCTTCTTTCTTCACTTTTTTTTCCTATAAATATGTAATTGTAAAGCCACTGCACAGTTTGCCAGGATCACAACTGCAGAAAGCAGATATGCAATCCTGGGGGGAAAATGTGGCTACTTTAAACAGGTTCAAGAAATAATTTATCCTCTGCACAGTCTAAAGGACCTTCTAAGACTTAAAACCAAAATGCATACAGAGCTATATTTTCTTTAATACCCATGAAAATGAATTCAAAACCAAAACAATGATTTTTCATTAATTGCAAAGAGTGATCACGAATGCATTATTGGGGATTCATTCTACAGTATATAAATTAAAAAGTGAACCATAGACTTTCATCATTTCTAGAAATAAAAGGAATTAGTTTAGTCACTTGACATTATAGGTTTTGCTTTATATTTGTTTAAGACAGGAAGTACATATGGGCATCTAAATATACACAAGAAGGTTGGATCAATCAACAAGAAATACTGAATATTATTGGTATTAATTATATTGATGATACTATACTATAATGCGCTTATATATGATAACTATTACTGTAATGCAATTGGAAGGTAGGATTTCCATCAGTTGGAAGTTCCCTCTTTAAATAAAGTTAAACATTCAAGTCATGAAAGAAAAGAAAGGTATCTGTTCTATTATATGTTACGCTTAAGAGCAGTATACATGAGGTCACCAACTAGTTCTTCAGATGGATGCCTTCTAAAATCCACTGCATCAGAAATCATGTAGAACTGAGAAATAATGCCAGCAATGATGAGATCTCCTTTATGATAATAATTATGCTTAAGAAGATTAGGCTTGCCCACCACACAGCTAGCAGTAGCAGGAATATGGCATACCACATCTGGTAGTAATATCATCAGTGACATGAACAGTAACATATTTTACAAGAAATCTGAATTTCCTTCTGAAAAATATAAGTCTCATTGAAGTGCAATAGGTTCTTTTACTTGCTTGATTTGAACTTAGAATGTGGAATTTGAAGAAGTGGATTGTTACAGCTCTGTCTGTTTCATCCCATCCATGAATGGACAAGAAACGTTATTTGCTCCCTTCGATCATATTTCATTGTTAGGCTATATTCCCTGAAGCTCCATAGAGATTTCAGAAGGAATTTAATTAATAAAATTTTTTTTTTTGGGGGGGGGGGTAATTATAGGAGAGATAACCATGACTCCTTCCAGAGACACTGAATAGAAAATAACCTTTTGTTTGAAATAGCAAGAGAATCTTATGTCTGTAATTTCCCCAGAAATGTTTATAAATACTATTGAAACTTAATCCCCAGTTGATTCCAATTTAGAAATTGAAGAAAGAAAGATTTCGTAATCAGTGAGATCCATTTTTTCAACACTTTTTAAAATGAAGAATAAAAAGAATGGCTTATTTCCTTATATTCATTTACTGCATATAATTATTAATTCATAATCAAAAGGTGCATGCCACAACTTAGAAAGTTTCATGAGAACACTGAGCTGCAATTGCATCCATTTATCTCTTGACATTTTAACAACTGCAATATCAATAAATATTTAATTGTTTATAGGTTGCCTCATTTAGTGTCCACTATCCAATGATCATTTGAAATTATGATGGTGCTGAATAAGGAGTACTTCTGACCGGTCATTGTTGTTGCACTCATTGTCATATCTCCATGGCCATATGATCACAATTCGGGTGTTTAGAAATTAAATCATAAGTATTGATTTATCAAATTTTAAAACCACTCATCTCCCTAACTGAGGGACTCTTGGTGGTATACAAATAAAATATTGAAAATTTAAAAACAATATATAAAAGTGACAAGCAATATTAAAAATCAATTAGAAGGTGGGGAAAAGGCTTTCAGGGCATTACCTACCTCCATAGCTGCATGCTTCTATATACACCCCAAGCTAGGCCACTGAGCTATGTTTTCATGCCTTTGTGGAAGGCCAGGACAGTAGGGGGACTCACCTCACTTATGGAGGGAGAGTGTTCCACAAGGCAGAGGCAACAGCAGAGAAGGCTCTCTTCCTGGGCCCCACCAGTCAGAATACAGAATAAGACCCATGTTAGCACAGTGGTCAGAATGCAGTATTGCAAGCTAACTCTGCCAACTTCCAGGAGTTCAATCCTGACCTGCTCAAGGTTGACTCAGCCTTCCATACTTCTGAGGTTGATAAAATGGCCACATTACCTGCACTATGCCATCTGAACCCCAGCCTAGTTTTGGCAGGCAGTGGCACATTCTCCTCACTGCATGGAGCAGCCAGGCGAGGTGAACCGGCGACATGCCAAACCTGCCTGTGCATGCGCAGAGGCTGAAGCACATGCAATCTCCTCTACCTCTGCCTCTGCGGACGCACAGGCAGGTCCAACATGTTGCCGGTTCGTCTCGCCTGGCTGCTCCACATGGTGAGAAAAATGTACCACTGCCTGCCGAAATCAGGCTGGAGTCTGAGCAGCATAGCACAGGTAACGTGGACTCTCATGCCGCTCGCAGCATCCCTTCCCCTGGAGTCCATAGGTGTGTGAAGATGGTGAGGACCATTTGCTGGTCTCCTTCAGGGATGCCTGTTTTTCTCCCTCCCTCATTACAAATATCTTCCCACTATTCTGCTCTTAATGCTGTGTGGCTCTTATCCAGTAATTTACAGTGGTCTTTCAAGCCATGGCCACCAGCAGCACAGCCACCAGCCATGCTGGCTGCCTGTCCCCCTCCCCTTGTCCCTTCCTGGCCACAGAGGGGAGGAGAGAAGAAATGGACAAAGAGGGAGGGAAGGAAGGGAAGAGAAGGACAATGAGAGGGAGGGAGAGATAATGGAAGGGAGGGAGGGAAGAAGAAAGGGACAAAGAGGAGGGAAGGAAGGAAGGGACAATGGGAGGGAGAGAGGGAGGGAATGAAGGTGCCCACACCTGTCCCATCGTCCTCCACCAGAGACCCATGAATCCCCCCACATCCCCCCACACCCCCCACAGGCACCCCACAACCTGAGTGAAGAGCTGGCCATGCCCCCCCCGGCCATTGACTTTGCTTGTGAAAAAAATTGCAAAAAGTGATCACATGACCCTGGGACACTGTGACCATCATAAGTATGAATCAGTTGCTAAGCATCCAAATGTAAAACACATGACTCTGGAGATGCTGCGACAATCATAAGTCTGAAAAATGGTCATAAGTTACTTTTTCAATGCTGTTATAACTTTGAATAGTCACTAAGCAAATTGTTGTAAGTCGAGGATGACCTGTACTTTATCATATTTTTCCCTTTCTTTTGGTCATCAAGTTTTTGACACCTTGCTAGGTGAATATTTTGACACCTTGCTATTGAATATTGCCTTATCCTAAAAGTGGTACAATGGGTAAAAGGGTTGAAAACCCCTCATCTAGGTCAAGAAATGACTTGAAAAGTATCTGCCAATTAGAAGAAAAAAAAGAAAAAAGTTGTAAATTTTGGCTCTTCAGAATGCAATGTTAGGGGCAAACAAATATTGTATATCAGGATTTCTATGAGAACAAAGATCCTAAACCAATAAAGTTATTTATGGAAGTTTTTAACTTAGTAACAATTGTTCCTACGGGAATCAGAGTTAGAGTCATTTGATAGAACATTTTAGTCCTTTCCTGGTTAAAGTCCACTAATATAAATTTTCATCCTTGCTATGTGTCAGATGTATTTGATAAAAGATTGTGTAGACATGATGAAGATGGTTAGATTTATTGTACAGATTCCAGATTCAACAAATCTCAGCATGTAATGATACCTGAATTTTGTGCTAGAATAGGGGGAAAGTTGAAATGAATAATGATCAAATTATTATTTTCAGAACTACTTCTTTATTAAACATCCCTTTGTGTTCAAATCAGGTCTCAAAATAATGATGTAGCATTTGGGGGAAAATATGCAGCCCAATAATCCAGCTGTAGAAGCCAAAATGGAGAAGATCTCCACAGCCACCATGTATTTTCCCTTAGTGCTCAGATAGGTTGGAACAAATGAAATCCAGACACTACAAAAGACCAACATACTGAAGGTGATAAATTTGGTTTCATTAAAGCTGTCAGGTAACTTCCTAGCTAGGAAGGCTACTAAGAAGCTAACAGCAGTCAATAATCCCAGAAAGCAAAGAATGGTATAAAACATTGTGGTTGAACCTGCATTACATTGTAAGACAATTTCCTCAGCCATAGAGTGTATATCAGAATCTGGGAATGGGGGAGAAATTGCCAGCCACACTAAGCAGATTGTGAATTGGGACAGGGAACAAGAAAGGACAATAGAAATAGCCATCTTTTTCCCCACCCATTTCCTCAATTTTGAATCTGGCTTTGTGGCCATGAAAGCAAGAACAACTATGGTTGTTTTACCCAAAATACAGGAAAGGGCTATAGAGAAAATTGTGCTGAAGGTAGTTTGTTGCATGAGACATTTCACTTGATCAGGTTTCCCAACAAAAAGGAAAGTGCAAAGGAAGGAGAGCAGAAGGGCAATGAGGAGGGTGTAAGTGAGGTTCCTGTTGTTGGCTTTGACAACCGGAGTTTCTTGCTTTTTAATGAAGATTCCCAGCACCAAAATTGTGATGACAGAAAAGGACAGACTAACAGTGGTCAAGGTGACTCCCAGTGGCTCATTGTAAGACAAGAATGTTACTTCTTTTTGAATGCAAAGATTTTGAGCATTGTTTGGATATTGATCTTTTGAACAATAGAAGCAATCAACTGCATCTGGAAAAAGAAAACATGATGACAATTTCTAGAAATACCAGATAGCAGGATTGAGAGTTAATTATTGGGATTTATTTATTTTTTTAAAAAAAATATGGCAAGCTACTCATTCTCAGTGATACTGGGCAGCATAAAAAGTCTAATATAAATGAATAAAAAAGAGCAATCCACATCACCTTGGCCACAACAAATAATCAAATGAGCCATTTGATGGACTCCATTCCACCCTGGGTTCCCCAGATCAGTTGGCAGAATCGAGTGTTTAAGGCTTGCAAAAGAGTGTCCAAGTGGGGGGGCAGTCCAATTTTTGTGGAGATGACGTTCCAGAGGGAGGGAGATACACAGAGAAGGCCCTTCTTCTCAGTCCTGCCAGATGTACCTCTTTAGGAGATGTTCATTTATTCCTAATTAAGTAATGCTTGTTTATATTTAGTGTCTTTTTGTAAAAATGCCAGATCTTCTGAAAGTTCTTATTGCTTTGTTGTTAAGAACTGTCTTATTATAAAATCTAATAATGATTTGGTTAACAATCTCTTATCATTCAGATATTTCCTGAACAAAGTGAAACAAAAATGGCTTAGTTTTCGAAGGAAGGGGAAAATGTGTATTTCATGGTATTTTGTTTTAGGAATTACACTCCTAAAATCAGCAAATGGATCCCAGTTTTATCCTTTTCCTCTTTTACACACACATATCAACACAAGATCTGTCATCTTACAAAATAAAGTTTCAGCATTAATCAGAAGTCATAATTTGGAAAAAATATTGGATATTTATTTTTGGATGCTCTGAAATATCTTTTCATTTTTAGTATGTATATAGCAATATCATTGATTTGGTCACCAAATTAGTCAGTTGTAGGAGGTTTAAATATTAGCATTTTGAATTACAGTTAAAAAGACTGAATATTCTTGCACAACACAACTCTTACCCATCCGGTTTGAAATTTTCCCTTTTGCACATGGAAGGCAATCATAACAACAAAAAGGCTTCCCCTCTATTTTCATCTTCCTGTAGCCTGCACAGCAATTGTCATTGCACAAAGAAAGAGGTTGAACCTATCAATAAATGAAAGCAGGATTTATTCCAACTTGTAAGTTTTCTTTCAAAATATTCTATTTAGTTGTGGAATTTACTCTTAAATAATAACTTTTGGGTTTGGGTGTCCCAATATCTCCTTATGTTTAAAAGCAATTATAGTAAATGAATGGAAATGTTACAGGGAATGAGAGTTAGAATCAAAACCAAATGCAAGAAAACTAAGAACTGGACACAGGAAGATAGCATCATTTGGCTACATGAATGACAGTTGGAAATATTTTTTCCCTGAATTTCAATTCCTTTCTCTCCTTTGGCCTCAGCAATGGCCAGGTGTTCTATCTGAACCAGGGTTAACATGATCATTGACATGGGATTCCCCATTTCCTTTTTCCCATCAATGCCAGGAAAGTAAGCACCAATTATTTTCCTTTATCTTTCAAGGATTGATAAGAAAAATAATTAAAATATAAGCAACAGTTTTATAATTTTAAAATTTTATAATTCTTGGGCCTAAAGGGGGACTTGACAGAACATCCTTCCTTCCTTCCTTCCTTCCTTCCTTCCTTCCTTCCTTCCTTCCTTCCTTCCTTCCTTCCTTCCTTCCTTCCTTCCTGTACAGTTTTGATTTGTTTATTCAGCCTTTCATTCTTCCTTGATTGATTCATTTTGTTTAAAAGCATCAGTTCATCATTCTACTGCTAAATGCTACCCATCCATCATGTTTTCATCTTTGTGGTTTTCAATCTGACAACTTGAAGGACAAGATCAATTCAAATTTATAATACCAAAAGCAAGAAGGGAAGGGAAATGATGTACAGGTAGTCCTCAACTTACAAGAGTTCATTTAATGACTATTCAAAGATACAATAATTCTGAAAAAAAAATGATTTCTGGCCATTTTTCACAGTTACCACCTTTGTAGCATCCCCATGATCATGTGATCAGAATTCATATGCTTGGCAACTGGTTCTTGTTTATGATGGTTGCAGTGTCCAAAGGTCATGTGATCACCTTTTGCAATCTTTTGACAAACAAAGTCAACAGGGAAGCCAGATTCACTTAACAACTGGGTTACTAACTTATCAATTGCAGTGATTCACTTAATGATTGTAGCAAGATAGGTCATACAGTGGAGCAAAACTCACTTAATAAATGTCTCACTTAACGACAGAAATTGGGCTCAGTTATGGTCATAAGTCAAGGACTACCTGAACACAGGTTGAAATCTGAGCAGGGAATACCTGGTTAAACATGGCAGGCCAGGTGATGTCTTGTGCAGAAATGGTGAACAGCTTATTTGGAGAAGCTGTTGGGTCAATTTTTCCAACTTTGACTTTAGTAAATGTCTGGTTTGGGAAGGTGACCCAGTTGACAATGTCAAATCCAGTCTCTAGATCCCCGTTTTCATTAAAGGAGAGTTTCTGTCCTACTGTGTTATTAAATGAAATGGTTCTCAAATAGTGATTGAGCTAAACAGAAACAAAGAATGACAGTTAATGGAAAAAGAAGGAAGGAAGGAAGGAAGGAAGGAAGGAAGGAAGGAAGGAAGGAAGGAAGGAAGGAAGGAAGGAAGGAAGGAGAAAGAAAGAAAGAATGAATTCAGTTAGGGATATTGATTTCATATGAATAGGTTCATTAATGCAATTATTGTTCCTCCACATCTATTCATATTTCTTCTCTGCCACAGACATTTTGAACCTCTGCCAATCATGCCAGTGCTGCTGTATCTAAATCTTTTCTCCCCTATTGTTGAAGCATTTTTATCTATTCACAATTACAAAAAAAAAAAAAAAAAAAATCTCACAAAATGATTGGGAAAATGTTTTGGCAGGAGACTGGAAATTATCACTAATGCAGTCTATGAGAACACTCCAATGTTCTCATTGACTACATTACATAACAGCTCATTACATCAAACAGAAGAGTAGTGGGAAATGTTCATTCATTCTTTTACCTGCCATGCTTTATGAGTCAAAAAGGTTTCTCTCCCAACTTCTCCCCTTGTTCTGTGTTTAGGGGAAAACATGGCTTGTAAAGCGTGTCTCACAGCATAGACTGCATTATAGATGCTGTAACTCTGCCCAGTCAGGGTGGTGTCAAACACAGACTTAGGTAGATTCTTCAACTTCTCTTCTCCAGTGCACAGCATTCCAGTGTCTTTATCTAACTTATCTTTAGGAAAAGAACATTCAAAAGCCTCTTCCCAGAACACTCTCATTAAATGGTCTTCCACTTCTGAAGTTGGGTTTCTCATCTGAAGGAATTTATTGAATCCAGAAATCTCCTTGGAAGAAATTGAAAAAGTTATAACACCATGGAAAACTTCCATACGCCTAGTTTTCTGAAACGGAAGGGATGTAAACTCCATCTGGGCTGGCATTATCCAAACTTTATCTTTTCTCACAATGGGTATGTCTTCAAATTCTGTAAAATAGGGCAACATTCTAAAAATGACAGTGACCTGGTTTTCACAATATAGGATGATAACATTGGCAGTGCTCTTCATGATGATAATATACATTTTACTAAACTCTTTAAATGCCCCTGCAATATCATTAGAAAATGTTTCCTTGGCCATCTCTTCCATAAAGTCAAAGCAGATACCTTTCTGCAAAAACAAAGGAACAGCATTTTGTAAGAATCTCTCTCCACTTTTATCAGGTTGAGAAATCAATCCAATCCATATCCATCTAAAATACAATAGCAACTGGAGAATACCCATAATCTGTTGATCAGCATTTGGGAAAAAACGATGGAAGAAAGCACCTTGTATCTTGTCATCTATCAATGGGGAAGATCCATATGTGAGCTAGAGATAGGAGAAAAAAGGAGCACAGTTTTCCAAAATAAAATATTGATTAAATTTTTAAAAAAATCTGTCCTTAATTTACAGTCTTTGTTACAAATATTAATATAAAATGTAATTATGTTCAGAAAGGATTTTCATTCAACAGCTATTATTAAAGTTGGAGCCCCCAAAATGAATTCAGGAAATTGGATCACAAATTTTAAGAGTTAAATGTGACTGGTCCTGCTTAAGATAGGAAATCTATCCTCACATTTCATTAGTCTTTTCCTCATAGGAAATGGAAGAAAAATTGAAGCAATAAAATCAGGATGGTATGAAAATAAAATAGGATGAGCAATATAAGAATATGGTTTTGGCTCAATATACACCACAACCCTCCTCTAGCATCACATATTCTTATCATAATCTTTATTCTTTATTTTTTATTGGCCACATGTGATTCGATACAAAATGGCCGATTACCAACTGGAGTTTTGGGCCAGGTATGTAGACAATACTTTCGTCATCGTCAAACGGGCGAAGAAAACTGCCTTTATGGAGAAACTCAACTCAATATTCCCGGATATACAATTCACGGTGGAGGAGGAGGCCAATGGCAGTTTGGCCTTCCTAGACATTTTGGTTACACGTCAAATTAATGGTGCCCTCCATACGACGGTGTATATAAAAGCCACTCACACCGACAGGATGTTGCACTATATGAGTAATCACCCAGCAGCCCATAAGATCTCATGCGTAAGGACATTATTTGCACGTATAGACACGCACTGTAATACCAGGAAGACTAAGCAGAGGGAGCGTGCACATCTTTATCAAGTGTGCAAGTGGAATGGCTACCCAACTAGCTTCATTCGGAGGTATAGCAAACGTCAAGAACCCCGCAGGGCACCGAATGATCCAGGGACAATGGCCCAGACAACAATACCATATGTCCAGGGAGTATCAGAAGTAACAGCGTGCATATTGGCACCTTGTAACATTAAAGTTGCTCACCGGCCTGATCAGACACTCCGGATAAAAGTCATGTGCCCTAAAGAGCCATTGCCGAAGGAAGAAAGATCAGTGGTCATATACAGAGTGCACTGCAAAGACTGCCAATGTAATTATACGGGGGAGACAGCCAAACGAATAAAAAACAGGATACATGAACATAAATTGGCTGTCAGAAGGCAGGAGCAATACTCTCAAATATGGATGCACATGATTAACATCGGACATTCTTTTGATTTCAAGGAGGCAGAAGCCATTGCCCAGGACTCCTCCAAAGGAGGATGCTTACTAAAGGAGGCCTGGTTCTCCAACACAGACTCATCAACCGATGTATAGAACTGCCCTCGGCGTATCAGGCACTAAGAGTGCAGGAAGAGCATGTCAAGAGACGGATGCCGATTGTCAGAGGTGAAACCAGGACTGGGGGGGGGTATTCACTACATGACTAGGCATAGGGAGGATCCCATAGACACATTAAAGATAGAGACAGATGAGGAAGTATTAGGGTCAAAGACAGGTAAGGGGAGTAAGGGAAGAGGAGATGGGCATGATGAGGGATTGCAAGGAGAAGGGGACCAGGGAAGAGGCTTGGGAACAGCGGAATTGATCGTACAACCCAGAACACGGGGGAGGGGTATGCCCGACCCCAGGGGACTGATCAAAAGGGAAGGGGAGAGAGAAAAGAACAGAAAAGATGAGGCATGTAAGATTGGAAGCATATTCATGGGGGGAGAGAGGACGTTTGAGAAGGGAGTAAGAATGGAGGAGAATAGTCAGGAACAGCAGGCAGAGCTGCGGATTAGAGGAGGGGAGGAAACAGGAGAGGGTGGGATTGACAGGAATGGAGAAGGACAGGCAGAAATAATAGGTAGGATGGCAGTTGGGGGGGAGGGAAGTTTGGGGAGGAGAATCCAACAGGAACGCATGTTGGTAGGTGGGAATAGTACGTAGGACAGCAGGTAAGGGGAGGAAGAATGCTGGAAGGAACAGCAAACAGAGCAGTGGATTGGAGAGGGGGGGAGGAAACAGAGGGGGGGACTGATAGGAAAGGAGAAGGACATATAAGAATAACAGGCAGGATGGCAGATTGGGGGGGAGGAAAGCTTGGGAAGGAGAGTTTAATAGGAATGGATGTTGGCTTGTGGGAACAGCATGTAGGACAGCAGGTTAGAGGAGGAGGAATGCTAGAAAAGAGAGGATGGACAGAAATGGATGAACAGCAGGCAGGTCAGCAGATTACGAGGGGGACATTGGAGAGGGGAAGAGGGACAGCAGTGGAGGAGGGCAAACAGGAACAGCAGGTAGAGCAACGGACTAGGAAGGGAAAGATATTGAGGAAGAGAACATCGATAGGAATGGTTGATAAAAGGCAGGAGCAATATGTTAATCAATAGGTGGGAGGGTTGAAGGAAGGGGGATTGACAGGAATGGATGGAGTAGGGCAGGACGGGCAGGTTAGAGATAGAGGAGAATTGGAGAAAGAAGGGGCGATGGGAATGAATGATGTAATATAGGCATGGACAGATTGGCGGGTGGGGGGGGAGAAGTGTTGAGGGAGCTAAGAAGGATAGGAATGGATCGGGCAGGACAGGAACAGCAGGGGGATCGGCAGACTGAGGGGGTAGACCAACTACTGGAGAGAGGAAGGTTGATAGGAAGGCAGGATGGGAAACAGGAACAGCAGGGAGACTGACAGAAGAGGAAGAGAGATAATTTGGAGAAGGGAAGAGTGATAGGAGAGGATGATGGTAGACAGGAAGCGTACACAAGTAAGCAGGTCAGGGAAAGGGAAATATTGGAGAAGGGAAAGATGACAGAAATGGAAAACAGAAGACAAAAAGGCCGTATGAATCGGCAGGTTAGGAGAGGAGGGGAGTTGGAGGAGGAAGATGAGATAGGAACTGGCAATGGAACGCAAAGAGAGGAGGGATTGAGGAGTGTGTTGATAATAACAGCGCAGGGAGGGGGAGATGGCACAAGGATGAAAGAGCAGAAAAACACAGTATTAGAGTGCAAAAAAGAGAGGGCGGAACAGTTAAGGCAGTTACAGGCAATCAGGAAGAGTGGCCCTGTCACGAGGGCAATGAGTAGGCAGTTGGATCAGCAAGGGGATAAAAAGAACTTTCCCACCCCCTAAGCCCCACTCTAAGGACGCTGGCAGAGGACCAGTGAAAGCTAAGTTGTTTTAACCTTGTATGTAACTGTTTTTATTGTTTTTAAATGTTGTTTTAACAATAAATAACTGGAGTATACTCTTCCCGGAGATCGAAGATTGCATCATTGAACAAATATGCCCGGGATTCGTATTTTTACAACCATTAAAGCTCTCAGTGTATATACAAACAACAAAGTGATAGATCGTAGATCATAAATCATAAGATACAAACAAGTGAAAAATCATAAGATACCAATAGCAGAAGGTATTAAGAAAGATGAGAAGTAATACAGCCCTACTTCATGGGTAAGTATCTTTAGGTATAAAGCAGTGCTGTGGACATTAGGTGTTTAGCAGAGAGATGGCAAGGGGAAAAAAAATCTTTGTATCTGGTTGTTTTGACATACAGTGCCCTATAGCAGCATCCTAAGGGGAGAAGTTGAAACAGTTTATGTCCTGGATGTGAAGGGTCTGTAGATATTTTCTCAGTCCTCTTTCTGGCTCATTCAGTATACAGGTCCTCAATGGAAGGCAGGCTGATTGAAATGTTGTTGTTTTTTCTGCAGTCCTATCTATCCATTGGAGTCTGTACTTGTCCTGTTTGGTTGCTGTGCCAACCAAATGAGGCATCCTCACATGAATACATATGAACATATATGGAGGCATCCTCATACAAATATGCATGTAAAGATGGATATAGGTTGCAATCTAACAAGAACTGGAAGAGCAAATGAATTAGTTTCCTCCTTTTCATTTCAGTTATTTCATATTTTGGTAATGTATCTTTCTCTTATTTTCCATTGTGTAGTATCTGAATTCCAGAAACAAGTATGGTACAAGTTGAGTACTTTCCTTCCTTATTTCTAATATTTCTAACAAATATGCAGCTCCCCAACAACCAACATTGAGTGATCTGAAAAGCAACTAGTGATAAATCTTTGGATACTTTCCCTAATTTCAGAATTTGAGAAAAGCAGAAGTACTGTCTTATGTTTAAAGAAACTTAAGTCAATAAGTTTGTGGTAGAATCTACAATTCTACCACATTCAATTTGCCATAGAAATCCTGATAACATATTCTGGCTGATGGAACTGACCATGTCTATTTAGGATTTATTAATCTATTGATTATCCTGATCTTAGGAGGAGGAGGAGGAGGAGGAGGAGGAATTCTTATAATATCGCAGTACCCTGTGTTTAGTAAATGTTAGTAAATAACAGCAAGAATTGCTTGAATGTGGTATAAGGGAATTAACTTTAACTTATACAGTATATAGAGCATTTTATGTAATTTTATGTGCAGCTTTCATTCATTTGTATTACATGACTTCATTTTTTAATTTATTTGAATCACCATGAATAACATTTATAGACAGGAAGGAGGGAAGGAGAGAGGTTGTAAGGGGGGAGGGATGGATGGATGGAGGGAGGGAGGGAGGGAGGGAAGGAAGGAAGGAAGGAAGGAAGGAAGGAAGGAAGGAAGGAAGGAAGGAAGGAAGGAAGGAAGGAAGGAAGGAAGACCAGTGTGCAGTACAAAGATCAAGAAATACTATTACTCAATCAGGTCCATGAATTCCTAATATTTTTACTAAAGCATGGTAGGGAAATGGATGCATGACTATATATTGACATTTCTCTTCAGTGTATTTGTAAATATGTCAAAAAATCATTTTGTATTAATTGTTCAGATGATTCAGATTGAGGAATAAAACAAGTAAAGTACGAAAAAAAATATCCATCTCATCTGCAAACACATAGTTTGGACTTCCATTTTAATTCCACATCACAAAATATAATACTCAAGGAAAGAAATGATTATTTGTTGTTTTCTAAACATGGCTTTATAAAAGTAAAAAAAAAAGGTGAGGGTTACAAGATTATTGTAACTTACAATAACATAACTATTAGTATTCATGATTTCATTTTCTAGTCTAGACAGTCTACCAGAGCTGACATTCTTCATAGATTCAGATTGAAGAATAAATCAAGTAAAGTACCTAAAATTATCTATTTCTTCTGTAAACACGTGGTATGTTGTTCATCATTGTTTGGATTACCACTTTATTTCCAAACCACAAAAAAGTAATAAAAAGAAAAGTTGGTTTATTTGTTGTATTTTTGTAAACATTACTTTGTAAAAGAAAAAAAATGGGAGGTAGTTTAATATTTGCAAGACTCTGTTATTGTAACCTTACAATAAAAGAATTATTAGTATGTGTGATTTTGATTTCCTACCCTAGACAATCTGGAAGGGATGACATTAACCTTGCAAGTAGGAAAACACTTTCCCTCCTCCTGCCTTAACTTTCCAGAGAAATGGGGAGGGGTGGGTGTCAATCCTGAGATGCTTTCTCAAAGAACACTTCTGGTTTAGTCTCAAATTTCTTTTATCAGACTTTTTTTATAGGACTGCAGTTCTTCCTCCTGCCTTTCAAGGTTATTCTTACAGTGTATACTTAGTCCTAGAAAAAAAAATCTCACCTGGGGCATCTTGTAGACATTCAAGATGTTTGCCATGAAGGGACAGATGTGAGAGTTAGGTCCTGCAATAGCAGATACTGCCCAGTCCTTGGCATCACACTTATAGTTGGGGATGAATCTGCCACGTGTTGAGAGAAGCTCCATTGAAGCCAAGTAAGTCCATCTTGCCATGAAATAACTATTAGAGATATCAGTACCCAAACTCATGTTGGATAATATATGTTTTTTTTCATTTATCTCCTTTACAGCAAAAACCAAGGCCATGATATGTTGGTAGTTCTGCAGGAAAAATCTGCAACAAAAGATATATTGTGTGGATCTAGGCAGGATGTTATGATTCTTTTAATTCATCATAAACAATTTTTACTAGAAACAAATAAATTGCTTGAAGAAAAATGATCATATTAAAACCCATATGTAATTCATATGGAGGCTATATGAGCTACCTTCCCGATCTCCTGCTATTCTAACTCTGATGACGCCAACAGTTTTTTGGTCGGATGAAAGCTTAGTGACTCTTCTTAACCACAGGCTTGTTTATATTAAACAGGCTGGTTTATTATATCCTGGTGTTCATTTTTTCTTTTACTTGTTAGATAAAAATATAAGGATATATATTATATATATTTCTAGAAGCACGATATATATATATAAGCACGAAGCCGAAAACACCAGCCTGAAGATGACGAATGGGACTTCCAAGACACTTCCAATTTTACGTGGGAGAAAACCCGAACAATCAAAGACCTACATACAAACACCCGCGAAAACCTCAAACACCCGCGAAAACCTCATATATGTAGGTCTTTGGTTATTCGGGTTTTCTCCCACATAGAATTGGAAGTGTCTTGGCGACGTTTCGACGAAGTCTCATTGGTCATCTTCAGGCTGGTGCTTTCAGCTGAAGATGATGAATGAGACTTCATCGAAACATCGCCAAGACACTTCCAATTCTATGTGGGAGAAAATCCGAATAACCAAAGACCTACATACAAACACCTGGACCTACATACAAACACCCGTAAAAACCTCAGAATATATATATATATATATATCTTCTTCTTGGATATGTTTTATGGTGGATATAGGCATGAAAACTGTTTTTGGAGTAAACTTGAGGACAAATCTTATATTTTATGTTTTTTTCTGGGATATCCCAATAAAAGTCATTGATGTTTCATTAGGGCAGAGAGCTCTAAGTCTGTGTTCCATGTATGCTCAACAGCTGTTTGGAAAATAATTCAAAGCATGCAACTGTTCCCTAATATTAAGTGAAAGAATTAAATGATTAACAGATTTAGCTACAAATAGTACAACACCGTGATAGTACCTCACTAATGATTCATTTAACAGTAAGAAAACAAGAAAATCTCAATATGGAATTTGAATAAAAACACCAATGGGAGAATTGTCATAAGTGTGTTTGTGTATTTATTTGCCAGGGCAACCTATTAGAGAAAGATACATGGTTTAAGTAAAGAAGATAAAGTCTTTACATGAGCTCATCAACCAGTTCTTCAGATGGGTGCCTTGTGAAATCAACTGGATCAGATATCATGTAGAACTGAGATAGTATCCCAGCCATTATGAAATCTCCTGGCAGAAAATACTTGTGCTTATTAAGGGGAAGTTTCCCCACAGAACATCCTTTAGTATGCAGAATAAGGCATGTAGCTCCTGACAGTAACATTGACAACATTGCCATCACTACCATGGAAAATTCCATCTTCTTCAAGAAAATATTTTTCACTACATGTGAACCAGTTCCATCTGTAAGAATGAAACATAAGGGGAAAAAACTCTCACTTATTAGAATAAATATTCTTTCTAAGAAAAAAGGTTGTTACATCTCTAACATTCTGATCCCACAATTAACAGACTCTTTCAGTCTTGAGCTATTCTTTACTGCTGTGCCTAAGAATTCCTGAAAGAGTTGAGAAAAAAAACCACATTAGTAAGATTCTCTGGGTAATTATATGGGAAATCAATGAATGTTTGGTGAAGCTCCTCAGAGATTGTGGAGAAAGTAGAATGATATATATGGGCTAAGAAAAAAAAAGAACTCATAACTGAAAACTGTAAAAGAGATAGAGAAAAAAATGAAAATTTAAATGAACAAATGCTAGTTCTGTAGCTGTAACCATTAAATTCTCTGCAACAATACAACTATCTGACTTTGACCTGTTAGGGCATACATTAAAGCATGATTTTTTTCCAAAGAGCCAAAGAGAAATTAGCCCATAATGTTATAGGATCCCGTCCACCTTTATTTATCCTTCTGATAGGTCTTTAAGCACTTTGATTATTGTATTTATAATTGATTAAATTATGATATTTCTTTTTAACCTTTCTAATGGAAGCAGACCTGTGAGCTGCTCAGAGTCCTTTGGGATAGGAACAGTGTGTAATTCCAAGTGAATATGCAAATAATAAAGGAATACCATTGAAAACAACTTTTTATTTGAGCCACATTTACAAAGTGAATCAATCTCAAAATAGAATGTTCTAAGTTCTAGGAGGACCATATTTTTTAATACTGTTTTTATTGCAAAGTAATAATATAGCTTGGCTCTTTTTACTCATTTTAAATGATTTTTTACTTCATATCCTCAAAGTCATATAGTATGAACCATATTTTTTTTTTCTGGCTTGATGAGTGACATGAGCCACCACCAATCAATTTATCCACTATTGATATTTTATAGCCCTGCAACAAATCTCTTTATCAATTATATATGGGAAATGAAAAAAAATAATAATCTACCAGTCATAGGATTCCTTCCTCATTAATTATGAAATTTGATGGCTGCTACAAATGTTGCTCCTTTTATCATATACAAAAAAATAACTTGAATCAGTTTCTTTGTAGTAAAGAAATAAGGGTCACTTGAACATATTTATTTTTACTTTGTCCTTTACCAGTACTTCTTTGACCACATGGACAAATAAATTTAAGAATATGATAATATACAAATACTAAAATAAGAAATTCACTTATTTATAAAGTTTAAATCTTTCCTTCCTTCCTTCCTTCCTTCCTTCCTTCCTTCCTTCCTTCCTTCCTTCCTTCCTTCCTTCCTTCCTTCCTTCCTTCCTCTAGGGCCCATCAAATACATCTTTCTAGGAAATAAAACCCATAGTATGCCACTTTTTTGAACTGATGATACCTTGAACTGAGAACATCACACAGTGATGGCCAAAGGCAGCATCTTTTTGCCAATCATCACTGTCTGGAATATACATCACAGAAAGAAGGCAAACCAGCAAAAAAACAGTGCTACCCACATTGATCCTTTGAGTTTATATAGAAGGGTAAAATGTTTGTTGGTTTTGAAAGCCACTGGGATCTAAAAAGGAGATGGCTGAGCTCATAGCCCTAAGGACCGATACATTTTCTCAGGCTCAATAGATTCAAACTATTCCCAGATATTGAAGCCAGACTGCTCCACAGGCATTGGCCCCCTGGATCTATGAACAAATTACAGCAACTTTGTCTGATAGATGCTAATATAATCAAGAGATGCATGCAGCAACTCAGCAAGTGACAAATCTGAGGTACAATTCTTTCCATTCATTGCTTGATATTTAAATATTCTGCAATAACAATTAAACATATTTATTTTTTATAGATTCTCTCATTTAATATCCACTCTTTAAAAGACCAATTAAAGTTGTGACGTTATTGAAGGAGCAGTACTTCTTTTTTTTTAAGCAAGTTTTATTAGTTTTTCAAATTTTTACATCCAGATACTTAGGGAGCAGTGTGGTGATAGGGTAATCAGTCAATAACAAAATCATTCATATATATCTCAGGTTACATCAATAAATGTTCCCTCACTATTTCCCACAAATATTATATCGTATTCATGTCAATAAATTTCTAATTAAAGCTCAATCAGTCAATACATTTATCAATACTATTTTAATTATACATACCCAAGTCCTGTTTTTGGGTTTTATTTAATTCCAGTTTATATATTCCAATTTAGCCTTTTATAACCAATGTTTAAGCTTCGGATAACCTTAATTTCCCTCATTTCATTATAAGATAATTAACATAACTAAAATACACATATTATTCCAAAATTTACCTTCTTTATAGATAAATATATTCTGGTTCTCATTCTAATAGCTCCTCATTTAATAGCAAAATATCTTTCATTATCACAAATAAAACAAAAACAAAAAACAAACCTTGCAGCAGCTTGGGGTGGTGCAAAAGCCAGGACAGCGACAGCTGGTGGGCCCACAGATGAGGAAGGCCCAGCAACAAACCCCACTTGTCCATCAGCCATTGAGAGGCCTACAGCAACAGGGGGCACCACCAGCCCCTGCTGGCCAGCAGCAGAGAGCAAAACAGCCAGTGGATCAGCAGGCAGGATGGGGCCAACAGCCCCAGTGGGGGCTGCAACAGCCTGTATTGACACCAACTTTCAGAGCAACCTTCAATGGGGACCAAGAGAAACTGATTTTTTTTCTGAACCAAGTGCGTTCTCACTTGAATCACAGGGCCTATCTCTACCCAGAACCAGGCGCCATGGTCGATGTCATTGCGTCAAACCTAGAGGGAGAAGCATCTGAATGGCTGAACAATCTATATAGTGAGCAAGCCCCCGAACTGGGAGATCCCCACCTTTTCCTCCTAGGACTGAAAGATTTGAGGACCATCCATAGGCCTCAAAGCAGAAGAACAAATCCACAAAATAAAACAAGCCGACAGGCCTGCCCTGGAGTATGTGCAAGAGTTCCACAAGATAGCAGGCTGAATAAAGGGGTGGCCCAAACAATCCCTGATTCAATACTTTGTCGAGGGATTAGACGATCACCTCTCTCAGGCCTGCATCTATCAAGAAGTATCTGATTGGCTACAGGAGTGGTACCAGACAGCAGTGAAGTTAGATGTTAAGCTTTCTCGCTATAAGAAGCCTCCCCAACATGAACCCGAGCAGCAACCAGAGCTACCCAGACAGCAATCACCCCCATGAAAGCCTTCAACTACTACAATGGCTGAAAGACCCAGGCCACTTACACGCCCTTCCTTTAAGTGTTTCCGATGTGGACAAGAAGGAATCGAGCAGCCACCTGTCCAGTCCCCTACCCCCAACTGCAGAGCAGATTAGAACCAGCAATGAGAAAGAAACCTGCTCAGCGGCTAATGAGAGAAAAATCCAACCGGCTCACTCAGGAACCTGTCACCCAGATTACACCCCCCCCACAGGAGGATGCCAGGACTCCGGGTGGACCCGCCCCTGATCTACCCTCCTTTGACAGCGATGATGAAGGAGAGAACAACCCGATGGTGAGTTGACAAATCCTGCCTTTTTCACTGGCCATCAAACTTATAATCCCTAAGTCTGGGGCACAAATAGACTTAAACGTGCTAATTGATCCTGGATGCACCCGCTGCATTATTAGTCTGCCATTTGCCATGAAAATGGGGATATGGGCAAAACAGCTTTCCAAATCGATGAGGTTTGAGCAAGCCAATGGCTCCCTGATGGGAGGGACTCTTGTCACACAATTAACCAAGCCCTTACGCCTAGAAATAGGTGCACACTGGGAGTTTATTTGCTTCCTGGTGGCTCCAAAAATGACTGAGGCAGTGATCCTAGGGCTAGCCTGGTTAGACAAATGGAAGGCATTTATCTGGTGGGAGAAAGGAATGAGAAGTATGAGACTACCTATAAGGCCTAATCCCCCCATTTATTCAACAGATGTTGCTGGGCATCTTAGGCTACCCAATGGGTGAGCACACATGGCCGCCTCACTGCCTCCAGGCAAACCAGTCATCCCCAATGAATACTGGGACCTGGCGGAGGCATTTAGTGAAAAAGAATGTGATGTTCTACCCCCTCACAGGCCCAATGACTGCTCCATCGAACTGGTGCCAGGAGCCAAACTCCCATGACCAAGAATGTATGCCATGTCCCCCCTTGAAATGGAGGAGATGCAGCGATACGTGAACTAAAACCTAGTGAGGGAGTTTATCGAATGGGCCAAATCTACCATGGGAGCCCCTGTGTTGTTCAAAGAGAAAAAAATGGGTCTCTTCACCTCTGCATAGACTATTAGGGTCTCAATGCTGTGAGTGTGGAAAATAAATACCCCCTCTCCCTCCTAAAGGACTTATTCACCCATCTAGCTAAGGGGAGTGTCTTCACTAAATTAGACCTAAGAGAAGCATATTACCGGGTGAGAATAAAAGAGGGAGATGAGTGGAAAACTGCCTACAACTGTCCTATCAGTTCAAAGTCATGCCATTTGGACTACAGGGGGCCCCAGCCATATTTATGCAGTTGATTAATGAGGTCCTACATGATCACTTGTACAAAGGGTTTTGGTGTATCTTGATGATATCCTGATATACACGAATATGACTGATCACATAAAGCTGGTGAGAGAAGTGTTAAAGAAACTATTGAATGCCAAGCTTTATGCCAAATTGTCAAAATGTGAATTTTACCAAATCCGATTAGACTATCTTGGCCACAGAATTTCCAACGAGGGTATTGAAATGGATCCAGCCAAGGTGAAAACTATAATCGAATGGCAGCCCCCCAAAACAGCTCCAGAGCTTTCTGGGTTTTGCCAACTTTTATCATCCCCTCTTTTGCCGAGATTGACCTACCCCTTACAGAACTACTCAAAACAGGCAAAGGAGGAGGGAAGCCATGACCGGGCCAACCACTAGCCCGGACAATGGGCTGTCAAACAGCTTTTGAGAATTTAAAGAGACTATATGCTGCTGAACCGGTCCTAAAGCACCCCTGCCCAAGGGAACCCTTTGTGATTCAAGCCGATGCCAGCAATGTGGCAGTTGGAGCTGTGTTACTGCAAAAGAACAAAAATGGGATCCTGCAACCCTGTGAGTGGAGATGGGCAATCTGGGAGAAAGAGGCCTTCGCATTTAGATGGGTGCTATTAAAATGGCGACACTATCTAGAAGGGAGCAAGGTGCCATTTGAGGTAAGGACAGATCACAAAAATCTAGAAGCACTGAAAACTCCCCGCAAATTGTCCCCAAAGCAAGTACAGTGGGCACAGTATTTTAACTGCTTCAACTTCACTCTAAAGTACATACCAGGAGGAAAGAACTTCCTAGCTGATGTGCTATCCCAGTTACCCCAATACAAAAGCGAACGGGAGGAGGTTACCGAGGCAATTATCCCCAATCCACAAACTGCCGCTCAACTTACACCTCGCAGAGTCCCCAATCCTTTTTTTTAAATATTTATTTTTAATTTTATCAAACTCTCCTCCATACATATACCATGATATTTATCAGATGTTAACATACATTCTGTTTACATTCATATATAAGATACTTTTGATAAAATGAAATAAATACATACACATGACTTTTGGTGTTGCTCGCCCATTTCCCCTTTCACCGTATCCACATTCCTTCTTCTCTACCTTCTTTCTCCCTTTCTTCTCTTCCCTACTTCCCTCTTCTTCTTCTCCTCTTCTCTTTCCTTCACCACTTCTCCCCACTTCTCTTCTCCTCCAACCTTCCTACTTCCTTCTTCCCTCCTTTACTCTTTTCTCTCTCCTCTTCTTTATTCCCTCTCATCCCTCTTCAGATACAATTCAGGGGTAATGTCCCTGTCAAGCCAGTGGGCTGTAAGGCACTGGGACCAGTAAATGGGTCGCAATATGAGGTACAGAAAATTATTGACTTGTGGGTCCGCCACGGTAAATTGCAATATCTTATCCGGTGGAAGGGGTACTCCTCTCAGAGGCCTCCTGGGTTGGGGTGGCAGATGTACATGCTCCTCGGCTCCTACAGGTGTTCCACCGTCAATGTCCAGGGAAGCCGAGTAGTAGAAACTGCGGAAAAATGGACTCACCCATCTCTCCTTATCTTCCAGGTAAAGACGTGGTAGAGGGGGCTGCATGTCAAGCCCTACGGGGCTTGCCAATCACTGGTGGGGGGAATTCAGAGAACAACCCACTGCTTCCGTACCCAGCTGCAACGCTGCATGGCCCCTCGCTTCAGCCGGCAGCAGAGAAACCCAAGCCTCGCCACCCCGCCAACCAGCTGGGTGTCGGAAACCAGAAAGACATTGCTGAACCTGGCCGGTCAGCACCCGGAAACCCCAAGCATCACCGGCCCGCTGCTCAGCTGACTGTTGGATGAAAGCGGGCCATTGCAAAGCCCGGGTGACATGCGCAAGCCAGCAAAGAGCCAAAACCGGGCGAGGGGGGCTTTCTAACAGTGCGGACGCTCTGTGCAGCAGCTGGACGAACGGGGGGTGAGCCAGCTGGGAAGTTGAACCAGGGGCTGCCCAACACAGAACACTGCGAGGCACAAGCAAACTCACTGTTACCGGAGGAGCCTGGAAGCTGCACATCAGCAGAAGGCTCCATCTTGAATGAACAGGAATCAGGGCATAGGGGTGGGGTTCAGCTGGGGGAGGGCCAGGGCTGGACAAACAGACTTTTCAAGACAGCTGGGTGGATGGTAGTTACTGGTTGGAGGGTTGGGTTTTGGGTGTGGCACTGTTATATGAAGCACTGGGAGCAAACCACTCCCAGTGCTGACTTTGTTTGTTAGGGATTAAAATACTTGACTTGCACTTTGTTCCTGCATTCCTGCATTTATTTCATCGGGATGACGACAGACGATGTGACAGTCTGAGCAACTCCTCTCTCCAAATTTCCCTATCTGTATTATATACAATAAGATTAATTTTCCCTTACATTAATACTTCTATTTATCTAATCTTCTCGGTATATACTTCTATAAATATTTATACAACTTCCAGTTATTCAATACTGTGTCGCCTGGGTCTCCCTCCTTATCTGCTCCTTCTTCTTCCATCTAAATTGATGTTAACTATCTTTTAACCATATTCTTTTTCCAGACATTCATAAAAAGTTCCCTAGATTTCATAGTAGTCTGACTCTGTCTTATCTTTAATTGTAATTGTTAGTCCTCCTCTGGAGGGGCTTTCAGTGCTTTCCAATTTTGTGCAAACACAATCCTGGCTGCCATGATTATATGAATAATTAAATATGTTTTCTTTTTATTTTATTTCTCTGGTAGAATACCCAACAGGAATATTTCTGGTCTTAGTTCTATATGTTGTTATATCATCTTTTCTATCCATGTTCTAATTATATTCCAATAAGTTTTAGCTTCTACACATGTCCACCAAATATGGTAGAAGGAACCTAGTATCTGATGACATTTCCAACATTTCATAGACCTGTCCTTAAACATCTTAGCTAATCTTTCTGGAAACATGTGTCATCTGTAAAACATTTTGTACATATTTTCTTTATACGCAGTCGCCATTGTCAATTTATAGTTTCTTTCCCATACTTGCTGCCATCTATCTAATTCAATTGTATATTCAAAATTCCTTGTCCATTTTATCATTGTCTCTTTCACTTGTTCCTTCTCTAACTCCATATGTAGTAGATAATTGTACATTTTTTAATCTATTTTTCTTCCGTTCCTGTGAGTATTTCATCTAACTCTGTTGTCCCCAAATTAACACAATCTATTTTAACATCTTTTTCATATCTAGATTGTATTTGCGTTCTCATGAACCAAGCCATTTTTATTCCTTGTTCCTCTAATTGTTGTTTGGTTTTAACTCCCCCATATCTGTTAGTAAGTCTTTATATCTTATAATGTTTCCCATGTTAAACATATTGGGGTGCATTAGTGCCTCCATAGTTGAGAGCCAATTTGGAATCTTCAAATAATGCTTTCTCTTTACTTTCTCCCAGACCACAAATAAATAATTCCTTCTATGGTATCTCTGGAAATAGCTATGTATTCTGTTTTTTCCATACCATATAAAAGCATGCCATCCCAACTGTAAATCATGTCCCTCTAATGTCAATAATCTTGTATTCCTCAGTAAGATCCATTCTCTCATCCATGATAATGCTGCAGCCTGATAGTACAATTCCCAATTAGGTAGACCAAACTCACCTCTCAATCTTGTATCTGGTAACATTTTTAGATTAATCCTTGCCTTTTTTCCCTGCCAAATATATTTCAAGATTATTTTGTTAAGCCCCTCAAATATTTCTTATCTAATCTTATTGGTATTGTTGAAAACAAAAACAATAATCGTGGTAATATATTCATTTTGATTATCGCAATCCTTCCCATTAATGATAATTGTACATTTTTCCATTTATCCAAATTTACTTCAATTTGTCTGTTCAATTTATGATAATTATCCTCTTTAATTGTTGTGCATCTTGCTGTCAGGTGGATCCCTATATATTTTTACCTTCTTTACAATCTGTATATCTAATTTTCCCACCAGTTCTTTTTTTGTTTTTCAGTAATATTTTTCACTAACATTTTGGTTTTATCTTTATTAATTTTCAACCCAGCTACCTCACCATATTTTTCTATTTGTTCTATTAATACAGGTCCTGTCTCTAATGTTTCTCCAAAATAAATACTAAATCGTCTGCGAATGCTTGTAGCTTATATTCTTCCCTCTTAATTTTCATCCATTTTATGTCATTATTCTGTCTTATATATCTATTTAATACCTCTAATGTCAGAACAACAACAATGGAGATAGGGGACAGCCCTGTCTTGTTCCTTTCATAATATTGATCTTCTCAGTCATGCTTCTATTTATCATTACTTTGGCTGATTGCTTATTATAAATTGTTCTGAATACATTTATAAATTTCTCCCCCTGCATGTCCGAAGGTGTCATGATCCAAAACCTGAAGTCTCATTTAATATTCACTCTTTAAAAGACCAATTAAAGTTATGATATTATTGAAGGAACAGTACTTCTTAGAGATCCTCATAGTTGTCCTCATTGCAGTTCCATGGTCACAAAATTAAAATTCAGATACTTAGTAATCAGAGCACAATCATTTATTTATTCATCATATTTTAAAACCAACCATATCCTTCACAGATTATCTGAGTGGTATACAAATAAAATATTAAAGTCTTGTAAACAGTATATAAAAATGGAAAGTGGCAAGGGAGAAAAATGTTAAGGACCCTTTTTGCAAACTTTATCAACTTCTGATTCAGACTGAATCTTGACATCTATACGTGACATAAAAACCAATTCACAGGAACAGCCAGAAGAAAATTTGAATTTCAACAGTTCAGAATGTACAAGTGTGAGCACTCAGATATTGTTTTTAACATTTCATTGCAGTTAGCCAAAATATTCTAGTGAAGTATTATATTGTTCTTTTTATAAGCAATTTTCCTAAAGAGAACCAAAGTTATGGTCACTTGATAGAAAGTTCTAGGGCTTTTGATGATGAGGGTGAAGTTATGTTCAAATTTATGTACCGATTCCAGGTTCCAGAAACTCCAGCATGTAATGAACACTGAATTTTATATTGGAATAGGGGGAAGTTTGCATTGAATCAATGGGCAAATTGAACTCCATATTCACAATTTTTTCTTTGTTAATTGCTCCTTTGTATTCAAATCAGGTCTCAAAATAACGATGTAGCATTTGGGCAAAAATATGCAGCCCAGTAATCTAGCTACGGAAGCCAAAATGGAAAAGATCTCCACAGTCACCATATATTTGCCTTCATGCTCAAGTAGGTGGGAACAAATGATATCCCCACACTACAAAAGACAAACATGCTAAAGGTGATAAATTTGGCTTCATTAAAGCTGTCAGGTAACTTCCTAGCTAGGAAAGCAATTGAGAATCTAATAGCAGTCAAGAATCCCAAAAAACTAAGAATGGTATAAACATAGTGGTTGAACCTTCATTACATTGTAAGACAATTTCCTCAGCCACATAGTGCATGTCAGAATCTGGGAACGGGAGAGAAATTGCCAGCCATGCTAAACAGATCATTAGTCAAAGAGCAAGAAAGGACAATAGAAAGAGCCATCCTTTTCCCCACCCATTTCTGCATTTTGGAACCTGGCTGTCTGGCCATGAAAGCAAGAACAACTATGGTTGTTTTACCCAAAATGCAAGAAAGGGTTATAGAGAAAATAATACCAAAAGCAGTTTGATGCATGAGACATTTCACTTGATCAGGTTGCCCAACAAAAAGGAAAGTGCAGAGAAAGGAGAGCAGAAGGGCAATGAGAAAAGTATAAGTGAGGTTCCTGTTGTTGGCTTTGACAATGGGGGTGTCCTGCTTTTTAATGAAAATTCCCAGCATCACAATGGTGATGACTGCAAAGAATAGACTAACAGTGGGCAAAGTGACTCCCAGGGGCTCATTGTAAGATAAGAAACTATTTTTTTTTTAGAATGCAAAAAGTTTGAGCCTTGTTTGGATATCGATCTTCTGAACACTAGAAGCAATCAACTACATATGGAATAAAAAAAAATGGCCAACTTCAACAAATAGTCAGGTAGCAGAACTGAATGTTAATTTAGTAGATTAATTTATTCCTAATTAAGCAATACCTTTTTGTATTTAGTTCCTGGCTATCAAGGAACTGTGGTAGGAAAAAAAAATATAAGCATTAAGGGGGAGGAAAATATATTATGTTATATTATTATTTAATGGAAATAAACTCCTAATTCAGCAACTGCATCCCTTTCCTTTTATGCACACAAATTTAGCATTAATTAGAAACCATAATTGGAACAATCTAGAACAAATAAGATTAGAAATTTATTTTTGAATTTTTTGAAATATATTTTCAGTTTTTGGTATTTATAAAGAAATATTATTGCATAAAAGCCTTTTGCAGATAGTATAAATATTACCATTCTGAACCATAGTTACGAAAATTGAATACTCTTGCACAGGACCACTTTCACCCATCTGGTTTGAAATTTTCCCTTTTGCACATGGAAGGCAATCATAACAGCAAAATGGCTTTCCTTCTATTTTCATCTTCCTGCATCCTGGATAGCAATTGTCATTGCATACAGAAAGTGGTTGAACCTATTAAAAAGTGAAACCAGGATTTATTGCAAGCACACATTTTTTTCCTAGAAAAGTCTATTTCAGTATGGATTTTAAATAATAAATGTTGGATGTGGATGTTCCAAAATTTCTTGATTTATAGACATTATAGTGAATTAGTGAAATGGGAAATTATTTAAAACACTCCTTCCTCTTTAATTGTGAAATAACTTTAGGAAGTTTATTTATTTATAAATGTTAAATCCCTCCCTCCCTCCCTCCCTCCCTCCCTTCCTTCCTTCCTTCCTTCCTTCCTTCCTTCCTTCCTTCCTTCCTTTTCTTCCTCTAACCTAATAGAACCCACTAAATGAACCTCCAAAGCCAGCAGGACTCATAGGATGCCAATTCTTTATATTGAAGAGGTATTGAAGAGGAACCAAGAAAGTATGAATACTGCAGAACACCACACAGTAGGAGCCCAGGGCAGGATCTCCCTCCAAATCAACACTGACTGCAAGTTATCCAAG